GTCACTCAATTAGAAACTTAAATATATTACTTTCTGGTTATTATTTACATATTTTAACAAGCAAATATTTAGAACAGTTACATTTTGCAAAAAGAAAATGTTCTAATTAAAAATTTTTCAAGAATGTTTAAAGAATGAATCAATAAGAAATCTTGTTTGACTTGCTGCGTCTATGTCTTCATTTTAAATCTTTTCAAATATTACAAATGAATTAGACTACTTTGTATTTCAAATGATAAGCTATTAAAAGATTTTATGGATAATCTGATTGTTGGAAAAATTTATAACGTGAAAAATTCTAAATTGTTTAAATACTCAAAATACATATAAGCTATTGTAGACTTAAGTGGGATTTCAGATATTATTCATTTTTATTTTGTCAAAAAATTACTGAAATCTATATGTGGAAGGTGCAACTTAATTTTGAATTAATTCTTTTGAATATTTAAATTTAAAAACAAATTATAAGACAAAAATATAATTTCAATGAAAAAATAAACTCAAATTCTTACATTACATGTTTTTGTAACTTCCTTAACAAGAAGGCTCAGCAGTTATGTTTGTTACAAAATTTAAGAAAAATTCTTAAAATTAGACAATACATAAAAGTGACTTTTAACTTTTGTCTTTTTGCACGCGTATGGGAAATTTTCTAACTAAATTTATTTGACTTGGCAATTTTTACCAAATGTAGTTATGTTTGTGTTTTATCAATGCAGTTCCTAAGCTATATTGGAAAAGTTATGAAAATGTTTGTTTATATCAAGGAGAGAAAAGAATAAAATAATTTGTATAGATGTTAGAAAAAAACATGCATGTATAGTTACTATATTGTTCATGGGCTGTAATAATGGCATGAATTGAAAAATGTTAAATTGAAGAAAAGAGAGTTTAATGGATTTTTAAAAAGAAAATTGTAGATAGAATGCAAATAAAATCAAAAGGTTAATATCAACTGTTCATTGTGATAATGAACAGTTGATATTAACCATAAAAAGCAATTTCAAAATAATTACAGAAAAGTTGTTTTTTGCACCCTCAACTACTACAGTTTTGACATATCTTTAGAGATGCACCACTATTGTTGGATCTTTTTCTTTTTATTGTAAAGGTCTTACCAATAGGAATTGAGTTTCATAAAAGTTTATTGAAAAAGCTTATTTTTTTTTTTTTTTTGCTATTTGTCAAATAGCAAAAAAAATCAGAAATACAAAAAGAAATATTAATAGTAAGAATTACAGTTAATTGGATTGAAGTATAAGGTTATTCAATATAGACCTGAAAAAGAAAACAAATCTTATTGGCAAGTACTGACAAGTCAAAAAATGCCAGTATTACCCCCTTTAGTTATAGCTCAAAACAAACCAGTGCCATTATTAGTGCCTACATAAGTATCAATTATGAAAAAGCAAAGAATGATACTTCACACTTGTCAGTTATTATTGAACTAATAGTCATGTCAGATAGAGTATAACTTTACATAGGAAAAGTGTACTGTATATTGGCTCAAAATTCATGACTTTTAAGTGTCACTATTGCAGCCAATGAGCTTTAAAAAATCAGTTTATGGATTAATATGAAGTTTCTCTGTTTTTTATGAATTTTAATACTACTACTATATGAATTTTTTGTATGTTAAATTAGAAGATTACCATGATTTGATTATTAAGTAATTTTACTGTATTATTGTGTAAAGTGAATAAGATATCTTTACATCTTTTAATAAATTGCTTTAATTATAGTTTTAAAATCACAAGATGTATAATTAGATTCCATGTCTGACCTTTATCTATCTAATATCTATTAAATTGTTTACAATTACTGTATCACAATTATTATATTTACTATTTAACGGTGTTCTTTTTAAACTAGATTTTAACTGGTATGTGATGTGCTATAATCCTCTTTTCTAAAACTTAACTGTTTCTTTATTTATTAATGTTTCAATTTTTCACACTGAATGCTTCTGAATATTCTGTCATATTGACACCAGAATTCTCATAGTAGCTGGAGTGGTTTCTGCTCTGAGATGACGTATTAGATAATCAACATCTGTCTGGATCTGCTCTAAAATCTGTATTTTCATTATTGAGTAAAGTAAAAAGAATTCTTAAAATGCATTCCAGAACAAAAATCTCATTATTTGAATTTGCAATGGTAAAGATCCAAGGAAGACATCTCTAGGAAGTTGAAAACTTTATTGCAAGACTGAAATTATCTGCTGGGAAATAGTGAGTAAAGTTATAATTTTGTCATACTGTAAATCTGTCCAAATATAATAAACTGGTCAAACTTAAAACATCAATAAATTTGACAACGTATGATAAGTTAGTAAAAAAAAAATAAAAAATAAAATAAAAGTGACAAAGATAAACATTTAGGTTAGGGTTCAATGACTGCTGGTTTTTAGTCACATTGTTTTTATCTGGAGACTATATATACTTATAGAAATATTGTAGTGTTTTGTTTCATAGTTTACAATATTACTTATACATAGAATAATACAATTAAAAGAAAGATTACAATATTTTATTTTTATATCTGAATTATAGCAGTGTTTCTTTTAAGTTAGTTATTGTTCTAGAGAATTAAAAATACACAGAGTTAATNGTATCAAAGAGCATAAATATACGATTAATAAGAAACTTGACAACACCGTGCTCTCGTCTTACGCAACGCAACACGACATTCAAGTCCATTGGGATCGGGCGGAAATTATTAAACCTACGACAAATTTACATACAATGAAATATCTGGAGAAATTAGAGATCTTTAAGGCACACAAGAAAACTGGTTGCATCAACCATAGAGATGCGGACTCTTTACCTACCGCATGGCGATCCTTTTACAAGAATTAATGACTTTATTTATTTTTATTTGTTAAGGAACATTTTTTCGGATTAATTTTTATTTTACGTTTATTTTATCTACTTTTCCGTTATTTATATTTTAATTTCGTATTTACGTTCTTTTTTGTGTTCGATTTTATTCTATGTTATGGTAACTGACGAAGATCGTTAAAAAATGATCGAAAACGTTATTATATTATTAATTTTTATTAGCTGGATTATTAAAGGTGTGTTTTATTAATAGTATATTTATCCAGTTCGTTCGTTATATAAGATATATACAGCAGGTGACAAATTTTTTCTAACTATCTCGCAGTTCTTCCTCAGGTCAACTAGCTTAGAAATGCTTCCGAACGTAGCATGTGGAATTCGACAGGATCGAATGTCATTTTGACAAAGTCAGTCTCGCTTGACAAGTGCGGTCATGAGCTGGTGGAGGTAGCCATGGGTCGGCATATAATAGGGACTGCCAGGCCAGCAATAGATTTATTTCCTCCTTCCAGTTGACACTCCGTTCAGAAGTATTCCTAAGCTAGTTGACCTGAGGAAGAACTGTGAGATAGTTCGAAAATGCTTGTCACCCGCTGTATGTATCTTATACGCGTTGCGCGCTGATAACAGGTTTAGGGAAATCATGAATTTACTCCGTGCTGAAATTAGAGTTAACTTTGTGATTAAATGTTTATAATCAAAGAGATTCTTTAAATCAATATTAAAAATAATGAGAATCAAAAAATTTTCAGTTTATTCTCTTTTGACTACTGACTTTATTGTTTACTGTAAATAGCATGACTTATGAAGTTCATGCAGTGAAACATTTGTCTGTGATTGATTGATTCTTGAGATAATTTGTTTTAATTGCCAGTAAATCTTTAAGAATGATGCTAGTAACCCACAAACACATGCAATAGCAGCAATTTTCTGCTACTGCTGGTTTTCATGGGCATTTTTTGCCAAATTGACATAGTTACCCATGTTTTCATGATGTCTTTATGACATATACTCTCTGTCTGTAAAATTTTTCCACTTATCATAGGCCTTAAAAAAAACCACTGTGGAAAATCACTGCCTTATGTATGCAATAATGTGCAATTTTTATCTGCTTCCTCCATGATCACATGCATAAGTGGCAATTTTCTGCTCTTATATCAATTTTCCATCATCAAAAGTGATGTCACAGGTCTCTCATGATTGCTGCAAGAGGAAATCATAATGTCATATGTTTGTCAAGCTATGCATGACATAATGACATGATCTACAAGTCACAATTACCTTGAACAGTTGTCTCTAAAAGATTGCCTGGAGTGCTATGACATCCGACAGTTTAAATGATTTTGCAGTTTTATTTCATGTCAGAAAAATCGTTTTCCAGTCCTGAGAAACACCTCAGCCTTCCTATATTTATTTCCAGCTGAACTCATTTCATATTAATCCACACTATCACTCTGTAGAAGCTCTTGAAAGAACATTGTTCTGTGAACAAAACAATATCTCATAAACTAAACAATATTTGATGTTGAAATTTGGCTCATGCAGAAAAGACACATTACAGGATTGACACTCAAAGAATGACCCTATTTAAGGAATAGTGCCCATTTTAAAAGTGAAAATATTTCAGAGAAATGTAAACTCATCTTGAATACAGTGAATAATAATTTAATGAAGTCTGTTAATGTATACTTCATAAACTACAAGCCAATGAATGCCATGTTATCGGACTAGATGTTGGCTATAATACTAATAAATTATGAAATAATTTAATTAAAAATTATGATTATTAAATTTATTAAGAGATGGTGCCAAATGTCTCCCTCTAGTACCAAATTGTTTCATAATTTATTAGTATTATAGTTGATATCTAGCCCGATAACATGCGGCATTTGTTGGCTTGTAGTTCATAATGTATTGGGTCGTAATGATGATGATTGTATACTTCATAAAGTACTGAATGTGAATCATGCATTTCTTTTCCGACATCATCATCTATTATATATATTATTTAAAGGATAATTCCTTATAATTGTGAATTTTAAAGTAATATAAATTAAAATTACATGAATTATACATAATAAAAAAATCAAACAAATTTTAATAAAGCAGCCAAAATTATATACAGAACATAACATTTATCAATTTTTTATTTTATTGTAGTATCTATTGGGATTATGCTCTAAATCTAAAAGTAGATGAAATTGTTTACCTGCATTGTCATCAGCAAGGTAAATATTTTCTTCTGTATTGTCAAATAGCATAATAGTTTATCAAGCATCAAACAGTTAAATTTCTAAATTAACAGCAAAATTAGTAACATTACTATTATGTGTAGGTGATGGCTACAGTACAAATCTATAGATCCATGTTTTCTGCAGCTGATAGTGGTGGTACTATCGTACTTGTGGGTCAAGATGGTGTCCAACGTCCACCCATACATTTCCCCAAAGGAGGTCACATGTTAGCTTTTCTGTCGTGTCTGGAGAATGGACTGCTGCCTCATGGTCAACTGGATCCCCCCTTATGGTCTCAGAGGGGCAAAGGTATCTAATAATAATTATATTATTATGTTGAGGAAATATAATTTTCTTTCATTAATAATAAGATTTAAAATATTCTATTAATATTAATGTCATTAGTATAATAAGTATATAAATTATAAAAGTGTTTTTACATATTGTAACTTAAATAAATCTGATTTAATATAGAAGACTTGTGTATTTATTGTTGAAGATAAAGGTAATAGTAGACATACAAATACTATACAATATTAAACATCATGTAAACTATTGTTTGCATCTTGTCTAAGTTTCTGATTGTAATTGATATTTATTCTTGTATATGTTATGTAAAGTGTGTTCAAGTTATAAGGACTGCTCCTCTTGTTTTATCTTAAAAATAATTCAACTATTCTATTATGATTACTATTGAAATAGTTGTCAGTTTATTTATATTATTATCAGTGATGACAACATGATATAATATCTATACTGATTTGTGCACTAAAGCAGCCTATTATATTTGCAATACTTAAAATAGCTGTATTCATTCATAGAAAATAACATACAATTATCTGATATTTACATCTGACCAGAAAAGCGCTGTTAGAATTTGTTAGGAAACATCAGAAGTGTACCTAAAGATCCTTATTAATGTTAACTACTTTATAGTGTCACAACATTATCAATGTGAACTAATCAATATGATCAGTCATTTAATTTAATCAAGGAATCAATTAATTAATATCAAACAATAATTGTAGATTTAGTATTTGAGTTAATGTTTCTAAGCCATTTTGATTCTTGTTAAACAGTAAAATTAATAATACAGGGTTCCAGAAAATTTTACTAACCAGATGGAATGAAATAGCTGGGTGGACCAAAAACAAAATATTGCGCAATATAATAAAATTTTCTGTTTGTAAATACAACCTCTTTCTCTACAAACATTTTTTGTATATCTTTATTTCAGTTCTGTCTTGGATTTTTTTGCCCTTGTTTGACCTTGGGAATTTATATTCTCCCATATCTGGACCATATCTTATTAACAAAGGAATTACCGATAAAATGTTTGAATTTTATCAGTAATTGATTCCTTTATGTTCGTTACTTTAAAGTTTTCATTTCATGCACAAATAATATTGTGAAAAGTTTTTTCATTAATTTCAACTGTACTTAGCTTTCTTTGTTCTGTTTTGATATCTCCTACATTTTGACTCCACTCACTAGAAAATAAACTTCTCACTATGGCATTACATACAGAGTGATTCAAAAGTCACAGAAATTTTTAAAAATTAATAACTCACAAACTATTTACAGTAAGATGATGCGGTTTTCACAGAAATGCTTAGAAAGAAGTGGGATTTTTTTAGGTGTAATAAAAATTTAGTAACAAAATAGTTACATTTCTTGCCTTCTTGCCACTTCTTGTCAAGTTATTAATTTTTAAAAATTTCTGTGACTTTTGAATCACCCTGTATTTCATTTTCATTTTGAGATTTGGCATTCTATCAGATTCTGTTCATCCTCTTTAAATGCCTTTCCTTGCTCAGTTTCTACCCTATTTCTTATTGCTCAATTATTTATCTCATCTTAGTTTAATTTCACTTCACACAACACTTAACACCTCAATACTACTTCCAGCAGTCAAAAGATTTTAATATTCTAACGTTTTCGGCCGTCTTTTAGAGGCCCTCTTCAGGATGAAACATTAAAAAACAGTTCTATCTTTTGAAGGATTTTAATAATCGAATACAGCTGTGTTCCGAACTTCAAAAGATAGAAATCCTTCAAAAGATAGAACTGTTTTTTAATGTTTCATCCTGAAGAGGGCCTCTAAAAGACGGCCGAAAACGTTAGAATATTAAAATCTTTTGACTGCTGGAAGTAGTATTGAGGTGTTAAGTGTTGTGTGTAGTATATCTTTCCAGTTTACGTGTGTTAATTTTTTGTCTGATTTAATTTCACTTCTAAATATTTTTAAAGTCACATACTGTAAGTTCTACATTTTTCATTTTTAACAACTATATACTTCTCTTACACAAATACTTTTTCTCATATTCTAGATAATCCATACTCACTTATATTGAATTGCATTTTTTTTGAAAGAGTTAATTCAGAAGTTAGTTAATGATATGGGCAAAGCATCTGTGGGTAATTGACAATTCTATTGTTGATTTGATGTCTTCACTATTAAGCTTATTAGTTTCTTCTTAAAATTATTTTAAAAATTCACTTTTCTGGCTTGGCTTAATTAAAGCATAATTTAATAAATACGAAATTATATTTACATGTCATTTCTCTTTACCAAAAATACAGAATGTTTATTATAATATATATTGTCAGTGTCTTTGAAATGACATTAGAATTCCAAGATTGACAGTAGCTGGGTTGATAGCAAATTGCAAATAGACCCAGAGGCTGTTTTTATGTTTGAATTACAATAGAATTCTGTTTTAAGTTGAACATAAAAATAGCAATAATTACATAAAATTTTAAATGTCAAGCATAAGCTTATTGTAAATAGCTACTGTGTATACATATAATAGGAGCTCCCTTATGAAAAATTTGACCATACATCTAAAATTTAAATTTTGTGCAGATTCTAAAGTAGTCTTGATGGTTATGGGGTGGTATTGAAGTCAGTTATTGGCCAATAATAAATAGTAAATTTTTAATAAATAAATAATTTGAATTTATTTCTATTACATAACACCATTTTTCATTTTTGCATGAATTATGTGCTTCCATCTAATTTCTGTTTACAACAACAAGTTAAAATATTTTCAAATTTACTTTCCTGAAAATGAAATGATATTACAATGTTTTTTCCAGTTGATTTTACCAACTGTTTGGCTAGGTAATCTGGTAAATTTATAAGAATCGTTATTTTCATATATTAATTTACCAGATTAACTAGCCAAACAGTTGGTAAAATCACCTGGAAAAACATTACAATATCATTTTTATTCAACAGTTTCNACATCAAGTTCAAAATCATTTCCAGAAGGAAATGGTCTAACATTAGATAGAACTAAGAGATTTATTCAAAAACAAGATAATGTAGCTACTGAGTGAGTATCTCAATTTTATTTTAGATTAAAAATGCTTTCAAAATTAATTTTAAAAGTTAAATTTTAGATATCTCTAATCTTAAATGAGGGAAAAGATATGATAAAAATTTATATATTTTATTTTCATATATTAATTTACCAGATTAACTAGCCAAACAGTTGGTAAAATCACCTGGAAAAACATTACAATATCATTTTTATTCAACAGTTTCTGTTTTTAAGCCAAATGCAAATTAGATGTCAATGAAACAGATAAACTCTAAATTACTTGCTAAAATATAGATAAATTCATGATTAATTTACATTCAGATATTTTTGTTGTATGCTTTTTTTGGCATCATTTATATTTTACAGGTAGGAGTTCCTAAATAATATGATTTATGATGAATATATTATGAAATTTTGTTACAATTAGAAAAATACTAAAAGAATATATCAAAATTATCATCATCTATTATTATTAATATGAAACACATGTTATTTTTATATTAAAATAT